AAAACTAAACAGTCTGGTCTTACGAATGATAAACTGAAGAAGCAAAGCAATTTTTAATTGTTTCTTAATATGTTTCTTTTTTTACCATATGACATATCATTTGATACGGTCAAAACGTGCCTAGTCGAAATAACGGTTTTAGACCCCAGGTCCCTTAGGACCAAATCCGTTTTAGGACATGTGAAGTCGATCTAGCGATGTCCGTCCGTCTGTCTGGCTGATACGCACTTTAACTCTCGAAGGGAGTAAACGATTTGGTCCAAACTTGGTACATCGTAAAATTTTGTTAAACTTAGATCGAGTTCGTAGATGGGCAATATCGGTCCACTCCTTCTGGAACCACAGCCACAAAAGGTCGAAATTTTTAAAAAAAATATATATTTTCTGCACAGAAAGAGAAACGATAATCCGATTTTGCTCCAACTTTGCAAATTCTAATATTTGCGCCAGTGCTACGTCAGGAGAGAAAATGGACAATATAGGTCCACTCCTTCTGGTACCTCCCCCACAAAACGTCGAAATTTGCAAAAAATATATTTTTTGCACAGAAAGAGAAACTATAATCCGATTTTCCACCAACTTTGCAAATTCTAATATTTGCGTCAGTGCTACGTCAGGTGAGAAAATGGACAATATAGGTCCACTCCATCAAGTACCTTCCCCACAAAGCAAAGCATAAAGCAACTTCGAAATCAGTAATTTCTCTAGGCTCAGACCACCTCCCCATTATTGTCGCCATCAACAGACCATCCGACTTCATAGACTCGGAACGCCGCACTTTCCTTAACCACGGGAAAGCCAATTGGCAAGAATTCAGAGAATATACCAATCGCCGTTTCAGAGAACTGCCCAACCCATCTGATGTTCAGGTAGCAGATAGGTGTTTCCGGGACATCATCAAAGCTGCAGCCGCTCGCTATATACCTGCTGGTCGAATACCGGAAATAAAATTTCCCAGCAGAGGCAGCGGGATTAGCAAACGAGCGAGATGAGCTTCGCCGTACTAACCCTAATAACCCCAGAGTGAGGGAACTTACTCTGGAGGTAAACAGGTTAGTAAGTGAGCATAAGCGGAAAAAAGGGCTAGAACATCTGAAGCATTGCAACATCAGTACCGGAACGAGTAAATTGTGGACAACGGTTAAGTCACTCTCGAACCCTGGAAAAAAAGGCGATCGGACATCAGTCTCATTTATCCCGATGCCTGGAAATGGACAGTCTTGTCCCGCTACTGAAGCCAGGCAAGGATGCCAGCAAAATTGATTCATACTGGCCGATATCACTTTTATCACCAGTAGCAAAGACGCTTGAGGCTTTACTCCTCCCCAGCATAAGATAGTGTTTCCCAGTAGCTCATCATCAACACGGATTCCGTACATTGCACAGCACAACACAGCTTTACACGCTATTTCCACACATGTCAGCAGAGGTCTCAACCAGAACAGGCCGTGCGATAAAGCAGTTATGGTGGCACTTGATTTATCAAAAGCCTTTGATACAGTCAATCATGCCACACTGTTCGAGAACATTGAGCGCACCGCCCTCCGACCAAGTTTGAAACGTTGGATAGTAAACTACATGTGTGGACGCCAGTCGTATGTGGAATTCAAAAACAAGAAGTCGAGCATCCGTAGAGTTAAACAGGGAGTTCCCCAATGTGGGTGATATCTCCGGAACTGTTTAACCTCTACCTTTCTGACATTCCACGCCCTCCAGATGGCATAGAGATTATAACGTACGCAGATAATTGTAGGTTCGCGGCGTCCGGACCCATTATTGATGACATTTGCGATTGCTTTAACGCTTACCTTGTTGATCTTACCGCCTTTTACAACACGATAGGCCGGTCTGTGGCCAACGTCAGTGCTATACAGTGGAAAAATATTCAGTCCTGCCAGAATGCCGCCCTTAGAACCGCAACAGGGTGCCTCCTCATGACAACTGTCGATCACCTACATGAGGAGGCGTAGGTCTTACCGGTGCGACAGCATAACAAAATGCTGTTTATGCAATACCTGCTTGGGTGTTATAGACAAAGCCATCAAAATCACCATCTTGTGGATAGGCAACCTCCGCCCAGGCACGTAAGGAAAGATCTTCATGATCTAGAGAGAGAGGTGTAGAGGTATAAGAGAGAGCCTCTAGGTCAACAGGTCTATCAAGCGGGACTGAATAGTATTCACTCTAATGCAGTCTCAGAAGCCATTGAAGGATATAGAGTGAATACTGTGCTAGGAGAACATCCCCCGCCCGTCGCAGCTGAAGAACGAGAGCTGCCCGACAAACCCGAGTAGTTTTGGATCAATTACGATCCGGATGGTGCAGCCGCCTAAATTCCTACTGGGCCCGGATTAACAGCGATACACAGAACATCTGCCCAGCTTGTGGCCCAGGCCCACATGACACGCTGCACCTAGTTTGCTGTCCAGCCAAGCGTACTTACCTAACTCCGGTCTCGTTATGGACACAACCCATACAGGTTGCATCCTTTTTGAGACTTGACTTAGAGCCAAAACCAGATTGAATGGAGTCAGGAAATGGAAACCGAACGAACACAGATGTATGAGCTGCTACAACAACAAAAAAGCTTCAAAATTTTGAAAAATTATAAAATTTTTTAAAATGTGATTTAAGAGTACGATTGTCTTCAAATTTCCACATCCAAATATTTTTATCACCCGAAGGTCTGGTGTTTAGATAAAATATGTCCTTCTGTTACCTTCCCCACAAAAGGTCGAAATTTTCAAAAAATATTTCTGGTTAATTCTTCTCTAAAATGTTATAAGCGTAAATTATATGATCACTTCAATCAAAATATTGTTTAATAATGTTCTCGGCTTTCTTGTTTGTTTTTGTATTTCTCTTGCATATCTGATTCATCTTACTATTTAATCAATTGTTATTTTTTTTTGTTAATTTGTTTTAATGTTAATAATTTTAATTAAGATCTTATAAATAACCGTCCATGGCCCTATGGGCTAGGCAACTGCGTTAATTGAATATAAATAAAGTAAAGAAAGTCGTAAAGTCGGGCGAGCCGACTTTTTGATACCCTACACCACTTTCATAATTTAATAGAGGTCCATATAACAATTAAAAGTTTTTATGGGAGAATTCAATCATATACACTATGATTATAATTATAATTTAAAGTTCAAAGGACTAAAAATGCCAAAGCATTTGTATCTTTTAAATTCGGACTTGTATTGCCCATTTGGTGGAAAATTAATTTGAATATATGGGAGCTATATCCAAATCTGAACCGATCTCGATAAAATTTGGCTAAGATATTTCCGAGCTGTATTTGATATATTTCCCTGAATATCTTGTTACGGAGTGCATATTACGGCTGTGGGTAACAAATACAACAAATCGGATGAACAATATGGCCTAATTTGGTTGCAGGTGCAAAATTCATACTATTCGGGCTGATATTACACTTTTTGTGCAAAATAAAAGACAAATCGGACGAAGATATATATGGGAGCTATATCTAAATTTTGACCGATTATCTCCAATTTCAATAGGGTTCGTCCATGGGCCAAACAAATGTTGTTTGGAAAATTTCATCTCAATCGGATAATAAATGCGACCAGCAAGAATATATGGACAGACTTTACAACTTGCTATGATGGTATACATCTGTCGGCAAAACCAACTGAAACTTTTTACTTTTTTTTTTTAAAACTTCTTAATTTTTAAAACAAAAATTGTTTATTTGTGCAAACTAAACAAGCTGGTATTACGAATGATAAGCTGAAGAAGGTTAGAAAAAAATAACTCAAAAGACCTTTTTATTTACAAAAATGTAAGTCTTTTTTGAAATATGTATTTTGGAAGTTAATTAGCGTTTTAATCGTTTAGAAGCAAACACAGGAATTTATTTATAAGTTAAAACTAAAGTTGTTATGGAAATGCTCACACTTCACTGGGATAGGACAAGTGATCCAAAACATCTCTCAAACTCCCCAGCGTATTTTTACCGTTCATTACTTTGCGCCTCAATTGCAAAAACAATCACAACACCCGGCATTGTGTAATAATTAACAAAAATAACTTTCTTTTCATTTATTTATAAGAACATTTATCACAATTTAACGGAACATTTGCCACAATTTCCAAGTCTACAGAATTTTCTAATCATGTAGTTTGTTTTGATTTGTTTTATTCCTCTAATGTTGCCATATTTACACTAAAATATAAGAATTTTTTCTCCAAATCGATTGGAATCCGAAGAGCTAAAATAAAAACGATCAATACTAAATTACGGTCTTGAAACCATTCCAATCAGAATCTGTGACGTGCCTAGTAAACTAGCTATAGACGATTACGAATTAATCCACGAAGATCTGACACAACATCATCAGACATATATTCATCGGCTCATGCATGCATCGCACAATATTCGGACAGAAATGCTTTTGTTAAAAATGTATTTTAATTGAAGACGACAATATGCGAAAAAAGTCCAACAGGAAAATATAAGCTCTTGAGCAAAATGTTCCAAAAATGTCATCAAATTTACCGATTCGGAGAGACCCACGCCACCCCTGGCTACGTCGATTATGTTTAACAGCTCATTAAAATAAACAACAACAATGTTCTCTGCTTTAGGAATTACACAAAAAATATTAAGGTGCCATTATTACTTCGTAAGTGAATGCGATTTCTATCGTAATCCGGGATTGCAACAGACGCGAGTAGATGAATTTGTTTCGAATTTTACGTTGATAAAAATACTGCAGCTAATATTTTCTTTTTAGTCAAAACACATTGCTTTGATTCCAAATATTTAGTAATTATTTTTTAATTTTGACAAGGATATTTGTTTTTAAAATATTTTTAATGTTTTCTTCTTTTTGAAAAGACCAAGCTGCGTCTGTTTGACCTTATTCAATTAAATAGGCTTTTAATGACATGAAAAGAACTGAACATCTATGAAGTCTCAAAGATTTTGAGTTGTGAAAAAACTATTTTCAATATCAATAATATGTACTTACCATTTTATTGGTTTCGGTTGTGAGACAAGACACTTTTCTTAAACGCAACATAAATATTTTACATTTTACTGCTGTTTCGTGTTCTTTAATTTTATCCGAATGCAACATGAATTCGATCCCACAATCACGAAAAATCGCCAGACCATTTTGGCATTCAGCAGACTGAGAAGAGCGAATTATGCCACCACATTCGAACGTAACAATGTAAAAATAATTAAAAAATATATCTCGTGTGGGATCTTCTCGGATAGGCAAAAGCATTTCGTCTATAAATATATATTTTTTTGTGGAGGATTCAATCTCTCGGTTGAAGTGATTCGGCCATGATATTCCTTGACTTTCGCGGCGCAATGTTGAAAAGAGTAGCAATCGTTCAGCTTCCACCATTTCAGAAGAAATTTTTGATTCCGGCAAACTTCGACAAATATTTACTACGTGTACTAATTGGTCACAAATTGAGGGACTTTGGCTAACTGATAATAAATGATCCAAATCAATGCTGGTGCCTACTGTCAGATTTCGACAATATGTTTTATTTTTGCACTTATTTGCAAAATCTTCAGATTGAGATCTCTTAAAACTCAAGGATTTCGGAATCTTTCTTGTCTCTCTCTTTATGAAATCTTTGCTTTTTCGAAGTGATTTGTTAAGGGCACTTCTTAAACTGGGAAGCACTTTAGATGATTGCGAATTCGTTGAATTCGACTTAGTATCTAAAACTGTATCAAAACTGCAGATGCTATTATTTTTTGGCGTTTTCATTTCGATTAATTTGTTAGGAGTATTTGGACAGCTGCTGCTTAAGTGTTCCATTTTCGGACATTTCACAACCTCAACTAAAGCACATGTTTTTTCCTAAATTGAAAAATAAGTGTTATAAAACGTTAATTTTTTCATAAAATGTTCTAACTAAGATTCAACATAACTTGGAAAGTTCATTATATTTATTTCAAAATTTAGTACAGAGATTTAGTATTTTTTAAGGAATGTAGAAAACAGCGAAACATTTAGAATGGTGGCGGTTTCTGTTAGATAGCATTTATAGTACAGCTTCATGTGTGTGAATGGAAAGATGAAAGCAATTTTAATAGGAGTCAATATAAAATTCTACCTTTGATGTAAATGATGGTTTCTTCGGAGTACTTTGATTGTTTGATAAAGGTGGAGATATAGTGTTACACACGTTTACCGAATCTACAGAATCCGGATCACTTATATGGTATACTTCCTCGGCTGGCAATTCATAAGACACTGCATCGTTATGCGCGATATAACCTTCATTTTCTTCGGGAGTGTCTTTAGATGATGTTTGTCCACCATGCAAACTTGGTAACCTTGGATTGTTCTAAAAAAAGAAAATTGTATTGCATTCTTTTTTAGATATGAAACTTTTTTATTACGTTTTCAATCTTCTGTAAATTTTGTTCTCCTATGCAAAAGCTATGACTATCAAGGATAGCGTGACTTCGGCACAAGTTGTCAAGAAAAAATTCGCTACGATGCAAAGACAAATCGGATTTACTAAGATTTCTTTGTCTCTTGGGAGGTGAATGGTTCTCCATTACACGGACATTGTTCAGCGACTTATAGTCCATTAACTGACTTTCAAATAACGAAGGAGATGAATATGAGGTTACTTCACCACCAGATGGTTCCGGTAGTGGCGATAATGTTGGTATTTTCTGCGTATTTCGTTTCGCCTTAAGTGAATCATGTTGTATTTGTTCCAAATAACCAGAATATTGCTGCTGACAGTTGTTTGATTGACTATTCTTATTAGACTTATCAACTAGAGCATACAATACATTTGGGTTGTCCTTTAAATTAAAGTGTTGTATGCCAGTACTGTTCTCCAAATTGGGGCTTTCCAAAACATGCAAGCTATCATCCTCTATTTCGGAATATATAGGTTCGTTGTTGCAATTAACGCCATGTGAACACTCTGTTTGGGAACCAACCCCTGGAAGGTTAGTTTGTTGTGTATAGCCAAGATCCTAAAAAAAATATATATATATATGGGGCAATTATTTTTTTTTATTCCAAAAAGTTTTTTTTTTATCTATTAAACTTACAAATAGGCATTACAAGTATAATATAAGTAGCTATGGCTACAATGGCCTTAAGCTAAGTAACGTATGTACATGAAATTCATTTTAGTAATAAATTATATAACTAATAATATTTTTGCTTGCTTAGCTACAAAATCTGCGAACTCATTTCCTTTGATATTTGAATGTCCTGGGACCCACACTAATACATGCTTATCATTGTTAATTATATCCCTAATCATGGAGGCATAAATGTTGGAATTATTTGGGTTCGCGATACTGTCCAGAGCTGATAATGAGTCTGATACTATAGCAAATTTGCCTTTTACATCTTTAGTATATTTTATAGCTTCATATATGGCTATTATTTCGGCAGAGAAAACTGATGAATATTCCGATAGGAGTGAAGACTTAATAACTTCATCTTTGGTTACTATGCTGTAACTGATACAGTTATGGGACTTGGAGCCATCAGTATAAATGAATTGATATTCTTTGTATTTCTCTTGAATGCTGTGGAATTCATTGAAATAAATGTGAGGGATTGTATTTTCCTTGCAATATTTTCGATGAGATGTATCTATTGGGTAGGTGTTAAACATCCAAATGGGCTTCACACATTGCGGGGTTTTGCGGTTATATGGAATGCAATATAACTCACAAAAAATTTTTATACGTGTTAGAGCGGAATTGATTTTGTTGAATTTTTTAGTTTTGGAAGCTTTTTTAAACAACTCCAAAACTGGCGAATTATCATTTAGTAAGATGGTTTTAAAAAGTTTTACTGTCGATATTTCTCTATAATTTTCAATTCTCATGAGATTTTCTTCGCATAACATGCAGTTCTTACTGCGGAATTAAAAATGGTTTTGATTTTATTTAAAGTCGATTTTGCGGTATATCCATACAAGAAAATTCCGTAGTTAATTTTTGATATTATGAGAGAACGGACAATAGATATTAAAGTGTATGTGTTACATTGAAATTTTTTATTGGATAAACATTTAATTACATTTAGTTTGGTCTGAAGAGATATACACAAAGAGTCAATATGCGAATTCCAGTTATATCGTTTGTTGACAATAATTCCAAGGATTTTCAGCGCTACTACCGACGGAATCGTGTGACTGCTACAGATTAAATCTGGGTGACAATCATGTTTGCGACATATATGTAGATGTTTGCATTTTTCCAGCGATAATTGAGCACCGGAAAAAGCACACCATCTTTCTATTTCTGGAAAAAGGTTACCAACATTGACGGTTGAATATTTCTTGTTTGACAAATTTTTTCATTATTATAAAATCATCGGCATAGGAAATAAATTTGAGATTTTTGTGCGATTCCAATAGTTTTGTTAGTTTGTTGTAGGCAATTAAAAATAAGACCACAGAGAGTGGAGAACCTTGAGGGATGCCATTGTACAGATTTTTTGTTTCTAAAAAGTGGGAGTTAACCCTTACTTTTATTTTTCTATTATTCATATAGTTCCTGATGTAGTTATAAGTTTTAGGTCCTATTCCCCATTCTTCAAGTTGACAGAGAATAGCACGTATACCAATCCTGTCAAAAGCTTTTGAAAAATCAAGGGATACTATTGAAAGGTGTTTGTTTGATTTTAACGAGCTGTTTATCTGATAGTCTAAAAATATCAGAGGATTTGCAATAGATTTAGCCTTTTTAAACCCGAACTGAAAAGGACTTAGAAGGTTTTTAACACAAATAAACCACCATAACCTTTATATGCGTGAAGATAAAAACGTTTTAATTTGACGAAGACTTTCCGTTGTATAACAGTGTATAACAGTTCAAAAACGTTTTTGTATATGAGCGAAAAATAAAAACGATTTTCTAGGTTATAATAAAAACGATTTTCAACGTATTAGACTTTTACTCTTAGTCATTTGTTTGATTTACGAAAAACGATTTGTATTATCTCCTAGTAAATAAAATACTAATACAATACAATATGTATTGATCTAAGCATTTCATTGTAGAAATTTTGAGAAAAAAAATTATCATCGAAAAATACGATTTTAAAGGACAAACTATGTTTTGGCCTATATCTCCGGATCAAAAAAGGATACGCGTATATGGAAGGTATCGTTAGAAAGGTGATTCCTTCTACTTTCCGAATATGTATTGATCTAAGCATTTCATTGCAGAAATTTTGAGAAAAAAATTTATCATCGAAAAATACGATTTTTAAGGACAAAATATGTTTTGGCCTATATCTCAGGATCAAAAGAGGATACGCGTATATGGAAGGTATCGTTAGAAAGGTGATTCCTTCTACTTTCCGAATATGTATTGATCTAAGCATTTCATTGTAGAAATTTTGAGAAAAAAATTTATCATCGAAAAATACGATTTTAAAGGACACATATGTTATGGCCTATATCTCAGGATCAAAAAAGGATACGCGTATATGGAAGGTATCGTTAGAAAGGTGATTCCTTCTACTTTCTGAATATGCCTTACTGAATTAATTTTTTTATGAAAGTTACCAGTACATGTCACTATGCACGGAGGTTTAGGTCCAATACCTGCCCAATTAATATATTTTTGTACAAAAGAAAAATATGTTAAAATTCACAATTAGGTTGTTTAAAAAGTTGTCATCAAGTAGGAATCGAACTTAGGTCGTTCTGAAATCAAGCGAAACGGTGGCGCGCGCGCATTCCACTAGCCTACAGACGCACGGGAACAGGCGATAGCTTACATGCTATATATACTGTTATATTGGCTTTGCTTATATGGCAGTATACTGAAAATCTGTTATAAAAGAGCAATCGTAATTTTTTGGAATTTTTTACCTTGGGAAAATTTTCAACATAATTCCCAAATAATGGCACCATAGTGTGTTTGTTTCATTTTCGAAATGAAACAAGAATATATTAAAGTTTTTGGTAATATAAAAAATAAAGCTTACTACAATTTTATAACAATGTCCTTGTCGGGATTTGAACCCACGACACATTAAATGTCAACAGAACTGCTTAGCCGACTCGGCCACAATTTCGACGTGGGCGGGGTGGTATACTGTTTTTAATACTACTGAACGTAAGATAATACGTAGATCTTTTTTTGCTGTTGTCAACTTTGAAAATCAACACAAAATCGGTTACGTTAATTTCATTGATTTAACCCCTTAGACAGTGTGTTACAGGTTAACGTATGTAGGCATGTTTAAGAAACTACATATTCGCAACTATTTTGGTATTTATACTAATAATTGTACTTTTATTTTTAATTTGTATATATTTAAATTCTATAAATTTATATGTACTTATTCTTTATTGATTTATGCTAATATTTGTATAATTCCGTATTTATTTATTTTTATTTTTTTCTTATTCCGTATTTATATATATATATATATATATATATATATATATATATATATATATTATATAGAATTTAAATATATATATATATAAGTTAACGACCGGAACATATGGAATTTTTAACAAACAACACAAAGTCAAACCAACCAAACGTGCCAATGCTAAATCTGCCGATTTAGCAACATCAAATTGTCGAATGATGTTCCCAGACGAAATATGATCCACACAGACAGCAAGAAGTCCAAATGAAATTTGTATCCTAAGGTGCATGAGTGAGCTGATGGTGGGAAATGCAGATTAAGCAGTTTGGAAGTTTAGGTAGTTGTCATTAAGAATCAAAATTGTAAATTCATTGCAGTCGGTTTTGTAAATTCATAAATAACAAAAATAAAAAATATATTTTTTTAATCTTTAAACATTTAAAAACTTAATTGGCGCCCGAGCAGGGACCCTTAAAAAAGGTCCTTATTCGTAAAAAAAACCCTCGGGAAAAGGGTTTTCCGGAAAAAAAATTAATAGATCACGTATCGTGCCCTAGTAACCTCTTCGGAAAATAAGAGGTAAACCGGAGATCTTAAAATAGATCAGCGGCCGTGATGTAGTGTAAGGAACTTAGTGAAAAAATTTTAAGTACAATTTTTAAGTGAACAGTAAAAAAATTAAAAAGGCAAAAGTGAACAAAAAAGAATTATAAAAAAATATAAAAGAAACAGTTTTCTACAAAGTGAATAGTAAAACAAAATTTAAGTGAACAAATAGAAATTATTAAAAATTAAAAGAAACAGTTTTGTACAAAGTGAAAAAAAAGAAATTTAAAAAAAAAAAACATACAAAACTAAAGGGAAAAGAGAAACGTTTTAAAATAACAAAAAAAATAAATGATGAAAAAATATATGAAAACAATAAATTAAAGAAAAAATTCAAGGTAAATCAAAACTTAATTGATAAAAAAAATGAAATAATAAATATTCGAGTGTGATTAATAATATAAAAAAGATAAGAAAAAATAAACGGAAACAATAAATCAAATTTGAAGAAAAAAATAAAGAAACAGTTACAATTTAAAAATAATAATAAGAAGAAAAAACACAAAGAAAAGAGAATCATATAGTGAACATTTATAAAATAAATAAAAAAAAATACAAAAAAATAAATAACTGTTAATGAAAAAAAAAAAACATAAAGAAAAAAATAAACAATCAACTAACAAAAAAAATCACTGAGAAGCAAAAATTATTGAACAATCAACGAGAAGAAAACAGAACAACATCGGAATCGCTCAGAAATCAACAAATATCCAGCTATGTTCCAGATATTAACGTAAGATCATAATAATAAGTTATTATTTTGCTTAAATTAAAAGAAATAGAAAGAATTAAGATTGTACAAATTTTATTTTTATCGCACAAAGTTTTTGTAACACTTAAATATTCATTGTTTTGCTTCCTTATTCCTTAAAACTGATTGTCCTTTTATTACAATGCCTGACGAAACGATCAATAATCTTACGGACAGACTAAATAGAACACTGACAATGACCCAACCAACTGTACAAACAACAGGATCATCAACGGGTTTTACCACATTACAAATGGAACA